GGTATAGACCCTGTAGTTAGACAGACTGACTTGGAGTCCACATCTAAGATTCTCTAGGGAGACGACCTTAGGCAAGAGATCAGCCAAATCTGAACTTAAGTTTTCTCATCTGTAAATTGAGGATAATCTGAACTCTAATGCATGGAGAGATTGACAAGTTCATGTTTGCAAAGTCTTTCATGTACAGGTTGAGCATACTTTATCCAAAATGCCTGGAACCAGTAGAGTTTCAGATTTTAGATATTTTTGGATATTAGAATATTTACATATCTATAATGAGATATATTGGAGCTGGGACCCAAGTATACCATAGGATTAATTTATGTTTCATATACACCTTATCATGTAGCCTGAAGGTAATTTTAAACAATATCTTTAACAATTTTGTGCATAAAACAGTTTTTTGTATTCTAGAAATTTATTTCTTATCGATTCATAAAAGGCACACATTTTTAGGGTACGTATATATAATAATTTAATATATTTATATGATTAGTAAATAGCAAATTTGTATACTTGAGATTATTCATCACCTTAAATATTTTTCTTTAGAGTTTTGATTGTGTTTTGACTCTGACCCATCACATATCATTAGGTGTAGAATGGTTCACTGATGGCATCATGTCAGTGCCTAAAACATTCTAAGTTTTGAAGCATTTTGGATTTTTGGATTAGGGATATTCAACCTGTGGTACCTGACACTTCATAGTCAGTAGATTTGGGTTACAGTTATTGTTATATCTTTCCTCTAAAACATCTTTATTGAGATATATCCACACATACAATTTACTCACTTAAAATGTAAAATCCAGTGGTTTCTAGTATGTTCACAGAGCTGGGCAGCCACCACCACAATTTTAGGACGTTTTCATTGTCTAATACAGAAACTCCACAACCATTAGTAGTCATTCCCATTTCTCCTCCAGGCATCTTCTCCCCAGTCATGGTTACCAGAGGCTTGGGGTTATATCTTCTAATGCAGAACTCTTACAACCTGTTTCAGTAGAAACAAAAACAGGGGTTGGCATGGTGGCTCACATCTGTAATCTCAGCACTTTTGGAGACTGAGGCAGGTGGCTTGCTTGAGCCCAGGAGTTTGAGAACAGCCTGGGCAATGTGACAAAACCCTGTCTCTGCAAAAAAAAAAAAAAAAAAAAAATTAGCTGTGCACAGTGGTGTGAAACTGTAGTCTCAGCTACTTGGAAGGCTAAAGTGGGAGGATAGTTTGAGTCCAGGAGGTCTTGACTGCACTGAGCTGTGGTCACACCACTGCTCTTCAGCCTAGGTGCCAGAGGGAGACCCTGTTTCAAACAAACAGACAAACAGGGTTCTTTGTATAAGGTTACTTTACTGTTATTAATTTTAAAGAGCAGTTTGGTGGCGTGAATGACAGTCCAATGTTTATATTAGTGTGGGAGACCATAACGTGAGAGGACACAGCATAAGACAAAATTGGAATTAATATAAAGAGTATAAGGAGTACTAGAGATGCTTATGGGAAGATTGAGTCCCGTAAGAAGATCCCACCGTTGTTGACAGCCAAGATACAGGAACTATCTGTATAAGAGATGAAGGAGAGAGAAGTGTTGGGATAATCAGGATGAAAAGAGATTCTGGTTTCTGGAAAAGGCTTATGAGCTGAATCTTGTGGGATGAAAAGGCAGAGGCATGTCAGGAGGCTGTCCAAGGGTATTGAGGGTGGCCTTTGTGAACAAAGAGCATCAGATAAGAGAAGGGAAGGAAGTGTTCTGAGACCATGATGTTGGCAACAGGAAATGCACTGATGTACTTTGTGTTAGGCTTAAGGTTTGTGCTGTAACACTTCATATTTGAAGTCTAATTAAAATAATGTCTTGATGTATATGATATTAAATAATAAGAAATAATTTCTTTTGAGACGTCTAGTAGCAAATTTCTCTGTATGGGAAGCAAAGAGACAAAAGTAGCTTTCTAGCACACTCAGCATTCTCAAAGATCTTTATGCAGAATTCAGAAGGGCAATAAAGGCAACAATTCTTTTCCCAAAGGAAGACAGACTTCCAACAGTGGGATGTACCATTCCCATGGGAGTTTCGTCATCAGAAATTCTGTGTCTATGGGAAGACACGGCTTCTGTTGGGAACATTACTTTACCCCATCCTATCCCATCCCTCAGCTCCACTCCATTCCATAAATATGTAGGCAGTGTGGATACAGAGAGGTAATCTAGAAACATAAACATGCCCCCTCATCCTCAGTGGAACCCCAGACCTTACACTCACACAAAGAGAGACGTATACTGCATGGATACACAGGTACACACATGTATACCCACACACATTCCACATTTGGGGCACTAATACTTGATATTAGCCCTCTTGATATCCAAAGTCCTACAGGGAGAGGGTAGAGGTTTTGAGAAACACAGGACCAGACCTTAGAAAAGACCATTGGAGGGAAGTGGTTCAAGCCTAGGGGTTTCTGTGAGACACACAGAACAAGCTCAGAGCAAAAGGAACAGTGAATAGCACGGAAACCTAAGAGTAGGGCTGACTACCTTTGCAGACCAGATCAAAGCAGCAAAAGAAAACAACAAAACCAAAAACCCAACATTAAATGGATGAAATGTCTTGGCTGCAAGAGGAAAATAAGCAATAAGCAGACCCTCTCCAGCTCTATCGCCCATTGATACACATTCTTTTTACTTTGCCAAGTTTTTATTCCTCAAGATAAACCTGAAGGCCAAGCTGCCAGAGATGAATTACAAAGCGCAGCTCTTTGCTCAAGTGGCATTTGATAATGCCAAGCAGTCGGGGGCCAATAAAGTCACCACTTCTGCAAATCAAATGAACCAGCTCCCAAACCTGCATAACCTGGCATTGGCACCCTTGCCAGAAGAGGGAAAGGGCAGGCAGGAAAATGGGCAATGAAACGACTGGATTGGTAACATTTTTATTCCTTCTGCACTTACTGTAACCCTCTAGAGTGTTGAATGGCTAAGACAGGGTCATTTCTCATTTCTGGGAATGGTATAGAGGAAAAACCGGTATGACTGTGAAATTCTGATTTGCGTAATTTAATTTTTTTAAAGAACTGGTAGTTTATTCCTATTTAAGTATGTAACAGCTTCTTGAACATATGCAAAACCAATATGGAGTTCCCTGGTGAGCAGTCCTTGTGGTGCTGGTGTAGTGAATTACTAAATATTATTTGTAATTAACACACTGTTGTCGGGAGGCAGAGTGCTCCTGGAGTTTATGCCTTCCATATTTGTTGACGTTAGACAATGCACAAGAAATTTGTTCTGGCTGCTATTGATTGCCCAGAATGCACCTTGTTTCCTGAGTATAATAGTTCAAATTATTCCTCTCAGCAACTCATTTATACCATTTATTTGTTTAACATACTTTTTTCAAAAGAGTACGGATTTGGTCCAACTCTAAATTATCGCAGATGCCAGATCAGCAGGTACACACTAATGAGATCTGGCTGTCAGAAGAAAGGCGAAATATGTGTCTTTTATCGATTGAAACCCAGCTTCTTAGAATTGACAGATTCACAGCTGTATTTGTTGAAACGATGTGGAAGTCAGGCAGATTTGGGTGTGTTTCTCAACTTGCTGTGATCTCAGTTTCTTCATCTGTAGCATTGGGGTAAAAGCTGCAGCTTCAGGTGTGTAGTGAGTACTGGAGGTTTTATAAATAAAGTACAGGGCATAGCCCTTGGGGTTTGGTGAAGTCTGAGGAGGTGACCGCTATGGCTTCACTATTCTGCTTAGAAGTTTTTCATGTTTTGATATAAAGGGCTCAAGTTAAGTAGGTTCAAATATGCTTGTTAGCTTACTTATTCTCTAGGTATGTTCCAGAAACCACCCAGTCAAAGTGTTCATTTCCTCGTTCTTGAAATGTGGCTAATGATAATTATTCCATGGTTATTCTGAGTATTAAATGAGGTCATGTATGTGCAGTGTTGCAACATGTTACGCAACACATTTCAGTCCTTTTCTCAACTGCCCTCCAGCTTTCCTGAGTTTTTATCATTGCAGGCAGAGTAAAATATGCCTGAATGTGTTTGACAAACTCCAAAACACAAGAAAAGTTTATAAAGCACAATCACTTGCTTTTGCAAAGTTTCAACAACTTACTAATTATCACTTCTTTCCTAACATACAGAAGAGAGGCAGCAATCATATTTTCAGAGCCAAGTAATTAATAGAATCTGTTTAGAGTGAGAACAATGGTGTTATAAAAACAAAGTAAGGGAGTATTTGATGATTTAGGGAAACCACCATTTATTTACATTTAAAAGCTGTCCTCTTATTTTCAGTGTATTCTGGTGGCTTAACAGAGAAATCTTACACAGAAATAAAGCAACAGTAATTGGATCAGGAGCTTTAACTGACCTCTTTCAATTGCCAAAGACTGCCGATAGCTTGGTAATTGAGGTAGGCATTAGGAGCTTGAGCTGTGAAGCCACAGAGTTGTGGGTTAATAAACCTGAGTCTGATACTTACTGTGTGCCCTTGGGCAGTGTGACCTTCGGCAAGTCACTTTATTTGGATGAGCCTGAGCATTCTTCAACTGTGAAATAGAAGAAACGATACCAAAGAAGACTGTTTTTAAGGATTATGTGAGATCAATTGTTTAAGACTCTGAGTGCTACGCTAGCATACAATAAGGAAGTAGTTCCTATTTATTTATTATTACTTACCAAGCAACAGAGCTGAAACTATGAGAATTTATCTCTTGTTAACTGCAGGCTCTTGTCAGCCTATGTTCGGGGTAATAAGAAGCCCCTATCAAACTCTTATTCTGACCCTTGTATGATAAGGATCACCAATCTATTGTTTGTCCAGTAGCCCGGGAAGTCATTATACGTGAGTGTACCCTGCTTCCCCCATTGGCAACCTTTTTTCCAAGACAAGTGCTCTCGGCTGACTTTGACAGCTTTTTTTTTTTTTAGTAAACAAATATATCCCTTCTCAAATTGATGTATTTTTCAGCCGTGTCAATTTTTCCCAGGTAGCAGGGATAAAGGGAATGTTCTTGGCTAACAAGAAGATTGACAACCAAGTGAAGACTTTCATCACATATAACAAAGGCAGAGACTGGCGTTTGCTGCAGGCGCCAGACACGGATCTAAGGGGGGACCCCGTGCACTGCTTGCTGGTGAGTCTTCATGTTGAGGCAGAATGCCTCTCACAGTGGAGGGATGGAAATGGATGTTTAACGGAGGATGAGGAGAGTTCTGGGACTTCCGTTCAGTTGATGAACAACAGCTGGCAGGGAAGGGCATGAGGTAAAGTGTGTAGAAAATGCACAGCACTGCCTAGTGTGATGTGCCACAGAGATGGGAGAACATGGGCGCATTTCTTGTACCCTTCCAGGGTCCCACTCCAGTTCTGATGAGATCCTCGCATGGTAGTTTGAGGGAGAATATGACAGTTTCTATCCCTGGTGAGGATACACCCTGAACAACCTACTTTCTCATGAGTAACCTGTTACAAAACTTAATAATACATAAATTCAGCTATAGAATTGATGAACTGAATGCAGAATTGTGTAGGTGTATTTTCCTGTGGAGATATTTAATCACAGTTTTGGAGGAGTTTATGACTCAAAAAAAGGTAAGAACCACTGATTTATACTCTTATTGGTATTCTTTACAATATGCTCTGTTCATTTATGTCTTATTCTTAAAGATGAAGTTGGCAAAGTATAGCCTGTGGGAAAAATATGGCCCATCACTTGTTTTTCTAAATACAGTTTTGTTGGAACACAGTCACGCTTATTCATTCACATATTGTCTATGGCTGATTTTGCCCTACAAAGGCAGAATCGAGCATGACAGAGACTGTTTGGTGAACAAAGCCAAAGGTATTTATTGCCTGTATGGTGAAAAAAGCCTGATATTTACTATAATCTGTCCCTTTATAAAGACTTGCTGGCCCCTGCTTTAAAGCATGGCTTTCTTTTAGTTGCCTTGCATTTGGGCAGTACATAGATTAGTATTAATTTATTTATATATTTGATATATGATGTCATCCAAAAGGAGGATAAAGATGAATCTTGCTTTCAAGGAGTTTGCAGTCTACTTGAATGTGACTAAATTAATAAATGGAATATTGCAGGGCCACATCTTATTCCTCCTACTAGCTCTGATGCCTGCCCCTACTTTGACACAAAGATAAGTACTGAGTGAATGCAGAAGGAGGTGAGGAAGAGGCAAATTGCAAAGCATTAATAATACTATCAGTGTCTGTAAAACAATTCAGAAGCTCTGTCTAAATTTAGAAAAAGGAGAACTGATCATGTAAACCTAGAGGGAAGACCACTTCATCTGAGTAAGAAGAGCTTGTAGGGAAGGGGGTGTGTGTGTGTGTGTGTGTGTGTGTGTGTGTGTGTGTGTGTGAACTACGTGTATATAGTTGTTCACACTCCTCATGCAATTCTGATTTTGATGTTATCCACACTCAACTTGCTTCCTTCCATCTCATAAAGTCTGGACAGTCACTTCGCAGGTTCGTCTCTCACAGCTGTAGGTGGGTCACCCTCCTAGTTGAGAAGGTGCCAGGAGCCATAGCTTGGCCTTATTAGTTGCAGAGGATATCACAGTTGTCACTGTGCATCAGGGAAGCAGTCTAAAATTCAGCCTCCCACTCAGCTTCTATCCTTATTACTGGCAACTAACAGGGGGGAAAAGCCAGTTGTTACAGTAAGCGCACCATGCCAGTGACAGAGTAAGTAAATGTAGCAGCTATTTATTGAATATGCAAGGCACAGTTCAGTGGCATTTTAAAAAACAGGGCCACCTTCCTAGTCCAGCTATAGCAAGCTGGAGTGTAGTGCTGCTTAACCGAAGATGCTTGGGATATGCCAATTCCTTAAGGTGACCTCTATCCCACACTTTGGAGATTAAACGCCTTTGAGAGAGAATTAACCATGTCGCTTAATGGGCTTGCCTAGGCACTCTGGCATCATAAATGAATCATTAAAAATGGCTCTTAAAGTGCTTAGCAAGGTATTCCCCGCTTCACCCCCAACCCAGCATAAGAACTCTTACTGTTGTACCTCCAAAATATAAACGTGGTGTCAACTTACTTCTCTATCACCACTGGGACTGCCCTAATCCAGACCAGCATTGTTGCTCATCTGACCCACAGTGACAGGCTTCTAACTGGTTCTCCCACTTTTGCTTGGGAATCTCTTTAGACAGAAGCCAGTGGGACCATTCTTTTAAAAATCAACTTTATTTTTGGGGGAAAATATACATACATACCAGTTTTAAGAGTATAGTTCAGTGAATTTTGACACATGTATATACCCGTATAACCATGAACACATCAAGACAGAACATTTCCATGGCCCTAAAAAATACCTTTGTGCCTCTTTGCAGTTAGAACTCACACTCTCAGCCCAGCACAACCAGTGATCCACTTTATTTTACTATATATTAGATTGCTATTTTTAAAAATTGTGTATAAATCGTATCAACTTCAACTTTTGAAAACCCAGATGATATCCCTTCATTATTTAAACCTTCTAATGGCTTCTAATACATGTAGAATACATAAAAATACTTTATCATGACCAGTGAGGCGCCATGTGATCTGGTCCCTTCTAGTTCTCCTCCCTGGTCTCCAGCCTCTCCCTCCGTCCTTTCTTCCTTATATGTTATAAGCTGAGGTGGAGAAGGCAGCATTTCTTTCTGTACCATGAACTCGCCATGTTCATGTATGTCTTAGGGTCTTTGCATATGTCGTTATTTCTCTCAAAATGCCCTTCTCATTGTCTGGCTTTTTCTTGGGATTCAGATCCTTGCTTCATTATCTTAATTTAAGAGAACTTTCTTAAGCATCCCTTACAGTTTATTTGTCCTAACTCTTTTTTTTCTTCATGGTCCTTATTGTTATCTGAAATCAGCACGTGTAGTGCTTAATTTTCTTGTCCATCTTCCCTGCCGAAGTGTGGGCTTCATGAGCCTAGGGACGGTGCCTATCTTTTTCACCATTCCAAAGAATCAGCTCCAGGAATCAAACCTGCCACGTGGTAGGGGCTCAACATACATGCAGTTGGGGGTGCCATGTTTGGAGTATGCATTCCATCGAAAGGTGTTTCAGTCTCACATTGGGACTTGGATGGAAGCTGTTCATTCCCTCTGAGAGTCCACTGGAGGATTTGTCCCAGTGTCTGCCTTCTGAAGCTCATGGGCTCAAGTTGGACCCAAAGTTAACCAAAGCAGGAGGCTCATTAAGATGGAGGAAAGATGGATTATTGGGATACAGATGGATGGAACTTGGGAGTCTTCCAGTCTTCCTTCTTTGTTAACCCTGTTGTTCAATGTAGTTTCAGCCCAAGCTTCAGAAAGCAGGCTGCAGGTGAGAAGGGGAAAAGGACAAAGGCAGCAGGGATGAGAGACCGAAATCACTTTACAAAAATCTGCCAAAGGTACAAAATAGGAAAGAAAGTCTCTGAGCTACAGGAGACCCAGACTGTTAAACACCATCTTTAGGCTTGGGAGCTGGTGGCAGAGACGAGATAAAAAGTGATTTTAGATTGTGAGTACTTGGAAAATGACAGTGTCACCGAAAGCACAGCCTAGTGATTAGAAAAGAGATTTTTCCAGCAGGGCTGTTACAGATGTGGAATAAGTTCAGAATTACAGCCCAAATGGAAGGTTCCTGGTAAAAATGTATTCTATAGAAATAAGACATCTAGGGTAATTTGGGCTGTATTTTTAGGACTTTTAGACTGATTGCCTGGAGGGCCCAGCTGGGATTTCTTTCTCTGAAGACTGCATTGTACAATTAGATCAAGTATTATAGGTCATGGTCCACCTGCCTCCCAGGCTTCAGGATTGGGCTCCCAGGAGGCAAGATGTGAGCTGAACTGAGCCTGAGACAAATGCTTGGGCCCTTAGAGAAAGCACAGTATTTCCTGGAAAGAGGTGCTGACTTCTTTGTGGATTCCTCTGGTAGTTTTCTCCTGGAGCTGAGGAGGCAGCGGCCCCAGGAGAATCTGCTTTTCTCCTTTCTTGCATTGTCTGTGACTGTATATATTTTGCTGATTTGGACTGGAGCTGAATTCCCCATATCCAGCCAGTTGATCCAGGAGCCTCCTTCCTTTTGCCATTGACTGTTTATGGAAGAGCTAATAAATTCAAGTTCTAATTCAGAGTCAGAAATTATACAGATGAGTGTGGATTTTGGGAGGGAGAGTGTTGGGGATACTCTTTGGAAGCTCATTTGTTATGAAAGCTCTGATCTGTCTTTTCAATACAACATTCAGATTAGACACCGTGGAGATAAAGGTCTCATGACGATAGGATCTAAAGGCAGTTGATACAAAGACTGGGGAGAAAGAATTGGGATTTGAAGCTGGTTGACCCTTAAATAATATAACAGCTTTTAAAATTGATTTATTACATGGTGGGGAAATGTCTTATGTCATTTGGTAATTCCCCAGTGGGCATCCACAATGCTAGAAACACAGTAGATAATTAACAGATCACCTGGAGAACATTTTGCTAAGAAAAAATAAGCCAGGCACAAAAACACCAAGTCTGCATCTCTCACTTCTATGTGGAACCTAAAAGAATCAAACTCAGAGAAGCGCAGACAAAATGGTAGTGACTGGAGGCTAGAAATCAGGGGAAATGGGGAGATATTGGTCAAAGGGTACAATGTTTCAGTTAGACAAGAGGAATAAATGATAAATATTTGAAGTAAAAAATAATGGATCAGTTAAATTCAACGGACGTTAACTGAACACTTGCAATAGCCAAAATATTTTGTTGGTTAAAATAAAAGAATGTGGCAAAGAAAGGTAACTAGTAACTAGAGGTCCACTTGTGGGTTTCAGAGGTTTGCAGACTCCCTGAAAATAAGTGAAAAACTCTGTGTACTTGTCTATGTGCATTTTATTTTGGTCTTTAATTTGCATCAGATGTTCAAACTTTGTACCTGACCCAGAAAAGATTACACACTAACAATCTAGCTGCTCCTGGAATTTACCAATTGATGATGTGCCAGTGACTACGTGTAAGGATGCAAAGGGCAGCTTCCAAGCATGTGCGCTGGCCATTCTATCCTCTGCAGGTCAGCTGCTGTCATTGGTGGTTTGGGTGTACCTTTGTATATTTTCTTAATATGGGAAGGGCAGGAAAATAGAAAACTGCCCTTGGAACAAGCTGTGCTTTGACTCTATTGACTTGGAGGTAACCCTGGAAAGAAAAAAGCAACTATTGTGACTATTAGCATGTATACGTACTCAGCACATATTTGCTAATGAGAGAAAAGAAGTCAGGTAGACTAGAGAAAGAAAGGGGCCTGTAATGTGTCCCCTGCCTGGGCAAAATGTGCATAGGAACTGAGAGCTAGGCTAGGTGCGGTGGCTCACGCCTGTAATCCCAGCACTTTGGGAGGCCAAGGCAATTGGATCACAAGGTCAAGAGATTGAGACCATTCTTGCCCAACATGGTGAAACCCCATCTCTACTAAAAATACAAAAAAAAAAAAAAATAGCTGGGCATGGTGGTGTGCACCTGTAGTCCCAGCTACTTGGGAGGCTGAGGCAGAAGAACTGCTTGAACCCGGGAGGCAGAGGTTGCAGTGAGTGGAGATCACGCCACTGCACTCCAGCCTGGTGACAGAGTGAGACTCCATCACCAAAAAAAAAAAAAAAAGAAAGAAAAAGAATGGGAGTGCTTTGTCTTGTGTCCTCCAGGGGCTTAGAGGGATTCGATAAGTGTTGTAATAAAATATACTAATATAAACTATATTAATTTTTTTTATGACTTAACTTGGACAATTGTCCAAACCTGGTTACTACAGCAGCTTAAGTTAAAAAAAGTGAAGATGAATCACCTCACATTGTTTTTTCCTTAAACATTTGTGTAGACTTTGTAACTTCCTTGAAGAAAATTAAAGAAGAAAAAGCCACAGAATATTCTCCTTATACCAGCTGGGGGCAATCCAGTACTACAAATGTGAGAGTGGAGAAAAAAGTGCATCAAAAGATTATTTCTAATGTTGCTGTTACTGTGTGAACTGGTGTCTTTTCTTCTCAAATTAATATATCTCAGCCCTCTGAAAGCCATAGCAACAGAGGCATGCTGAGATAGCCAATGGAAAAAAAGATATCTTTCCATTGTTTTCGTTTTTTGCTTTTTTTTCGTTTTGTATTAGAGATGGGGAGTCTCACTCTGTCGCCAAGACTGGAGTGCAGTGGTGCGATCTAGGCTCACTGCAACCTCCACTTAAAGTTCGAGTGATTCTCCTGCCTTAGCCTCCCAAGTAGCTGGGATTATAGGCATCCACCACCACGACCAGCTAATTTTTGTATCTTTAGTAGAGACAGGGTTTCACCATTTGGTCGGGCTGGTCTTGAACTCCTGACTTCAAATGATCCACCCATTGTAGCCTTCTGAAATGCTAAGGTTACAGGTATGAGCCGCCACACTCAGCTCAGCCTGACATCTTTCCTTTGTAATGACAAGTGCCCCTTACCAAGTAATCCTAAGGTCTGGTGCAAACAAGTTTCAAAATCTTTCACCTGTGGCAAGCAACTGGCTTAAGATTGTAAGTTGGTTGCTCTTTTGGCTAGGGATGTCCTCCATTTGGTGGTACAGACTCCTCTGTTAAGCTAATATGTCTAGAGATAATCACCAAGCAGTCGTCTACTTCTTGGAATGTCATACAGATGCTCACAACATTATTCAGATTGTGTGGTTTGTAATCAAGCCCACATACTCCTGGCATTGCTCTGAGTAAAATAGTAAAGTGATGTCTTTCATATCCTAACAGAAAAACATTGCTTGATTTTGCAAGCTTCTATTTATTATCTTGTTTAGATTCTATGTTAGGTTTCACAAAAGGTGCAAAGCAGTATTTAATCAGTTATCTTTATTTATAGAGTGTATTCTTAGAGTGATATAGCTGTATGTACCTGAAATAGATAATACAAGATTGTGCACAGTGAAATAAATTGTAGATTAGAAGAGGGGAGACCCTGACAGGCTGCAGTTATAAGGAAGACTTTAATGGAAAACTGGTTTTGCAATCCTGGTTTATCCTGTCTTAGCATCATCTGAATGTTGTACTGTGCTGTTCTGGAACATCCACAGCATTTAATTATAACAGTTCTAGTCTTCCTCTTGGACAAGTAAAAGCCAAGCAGCTAGGCCTGATATTTTTTCTTATACGGGCTGTCTTTTTTGCTCTTATAGAACGTTATAAAGTGAAAACTCCTTTTATTGAAAGATATACATGAAATTTTTATACAAAACCAATCATTTATTACTATTATTACACCTTGAGAATTTTACTTTGTTGGCAATAAAGAAAATATGCAATTGTGATCTGCTGTTTTATTTCACCAGCATTCTGGCTGCTTTTATTCCTGAGTTTCATTTTCACTTTGTCATTTACTCCATCCTGTATAAATTTAATCATTGTATCTGTAGATCTCTGAATGTCTGCTGGCTGAAACTTACAGAGCAGAATAAAAGTAATAACAGAGATACATTGGTGATTCCAAAAAGTCAAGTTGATAAGATTAGAAAGTAATCTTCCTGAGAGATGAGAAGAAATGTAGGTTCAAACACAAACTTATATTTTTTGACAACTCAGTGCAAGAACTATTTTTAACAAAATTCATATAAGATTTATTATCCATTTTTTTGTTGAAAACTATTGATATTTCAATCAGATAATTTGATCAAGGTTTCTACACAGATAAACAAGTCCCTTATATTTTCATTTAAATTTTTAGAACCAGTGCATTTTGTCTACGAATATGACTTTCATGTTGAATAATTCTGATTCTGATCATATCCTGGTAGAGATACTGGATCAGTTGTTTGGTGGGTGTTGGGATAGTTTCACATGCTTTTTCTGTGCAACTGAGACCAAGGTCTCAAATGGAGAGTGACTAAGAGATGCCAACTGACTTTTTCGAAATCCTCCCAGGCCTCACTTGATCTTCTCTCCTGGATTCATATCCCATTTCTCCTCTTCGGTCTTTTCTGATGATATACTGTGCTACTCAGCTTTTCTGCTTCTTTTTCTTTGTTACTGCTATTACTCAGGCCTGAAACATTCTTTAATCTCTTGAACAGCTACCTGCAGTTCGTAGCCTATCTATCTTTGCTTCAGGCACTGCTTTCTCTTTGGAGTCATTCATGATTCAAAGTTCAGCATAGTCTCTCCATCTTCTAGAGTCTCATACTATTTTTTCTATACTTTTTTATGGCTGTTAAAGTATTCTATTTATGGTAATTAATAGAAGGATCTCATGTCCTCTGTATAAACTGTAAACTCTGTAATGACAAAGATCAAATTAGATTATACCTAAAATGAAGGTGGTCTCTCCTTTACTAACTTGAAGGCTGTTTTACACTTAGTGGACACTAGACATTTGGGGAAATGAAAGATGGTGGGTAGTGTAAGTATAAGTGCAAGGGTTGTTGGAGTGGTGCATGGATGTATGGTAAATGGGATGGTTGGTTAGTTGGATGGATGGATGGATGACGTGATTCTGAGCTTCAAATGACCATTTTGATTATGTGATTTTATGACACTATTTCTCTTTTCAGCCCTATTGCTCACTGCACCTTCACCTGAAGGTCTCTGAGAATCCTTACACATCAGGGATCATTGCCAGCAAAGACACAGCTCCAAGCATCATAGTGGCATCAGGTAAGAAGCTTCCCTGGTTTGCTGGCTGTGGTAAATAGTGTTTATTTTAAGAATCTGTATATCTGTACTTGGAACTTAATAAGCAAGCTAAAATTATTTTTGAAAGGCATGTAAACCACCGGCCCTGAAGCAAGTCTGAAGAAAACTCCTGCACAGACAGAATGCTTGCAGCCAAAATCTTTCTCAGGCCATGCGCCTGCCAGTATAGTCCATTATTGCTGTTGCAGGAAGTTATTTTCACTAACGGTGGCCTTCTCTTTCTAGGTAATATCGGTTCTGAATTATCAGACACTGACATCAGCATGTTTGTCTCTTCAGATGCAGGGAACACTTGGAGGCAGGTAAGAAAACACCCTGGGCCAACTTGCTAAAGTTTAAGTGGCATAAAAATTGTCCAACTTGGTTCAAGCAGTTTTCAGCAGTGCTGCACATAAATCCTAAAGACGGTGAATATGTTTATTTTCCCTTTTTTAAAATAAAAATCTTAAATCTTTGAGTTTAGCAAATATTTATGCAGTTTGATTTTTTTTATCACTTTAAATAAAGATGTTCTTTATTCAGCGTTTGTATGTAAGGACGTTTATAAGAACGTCCTAAAGGACGTTTAGAATTCCTAAAGGTTTATCATATAGGAAATATGCAACATTAAGGGTAGATTACATGCCTAATGCTGAGTTGGCTCCGTAAATTCCTTTTGCCTTGAAGTCAGAATAGGAAGGGATGCAGATATCAAAATGGCCATTACCCAGGTGGTGTTCTGAGATGTTTAAATCTCATGTGGAAAAGGCATAGTAATAAGCATCGGGATGCATATGTTAAAGTAGAAATGGAATACTTTAAACCAGCGTTTTTAGCTTAAGTGCTTCCTGCCTGCCTTTCTTCTGAATGAAAATTAGATACCCATAGCTTATAAAACAGATATTTAATGAGGTTTAGCAATCTTAACAAGATATGTACCTAATGCATGGTTGTTATACTTCAATAAATATGTTTTAATAACCTACTGACATTTAATTATCATACAGTAACTAGCACTGTAAATTGAAATTTAATGCACAGGTAATCACACTTAGCAATGAGAACACTCTGCTTTAAATTTTAGCCAGAGATGTCCACATTATGTTCCAATTACCATTTCTTAGCTTCAGATCCTTTATAGATCCTCAGTGGGATTCTGATATTTTGAGAGGAGGAGGTAGGGAAGACATTTGCATAAGAAACCCCAGAGCAATTGATCTTGGAGGTATGTAGAAACCTGGACTATTCTAAGTAAACTTCCTCTGGAGAATAGCTGGAGATGCAGGATCCCATTTTCTTCTTTCCAACACCCCACACAAGGCAAAGAAGTCTCTGCTTCTATAGTCTTGGGATGCATCTTGAGTATAAGAAACAAATTGGAAGAAGATTGTCTATAATATAACTCTAGGCAAGGCTGTGCTAATAATCTGACTGAGATAACAGCATGCATCTTATATAGAAAGGATCTAGATACTGTTTCCAGTGTTTCTCCATTTGACTTCAAATTTATTTCTCTACCTTTGGAGAAATACACAATGACACATGTACCCAAAGATGTCAACAGAACTCACCATGATTTTGGTGGAGGCTTTGTTAATTAAACAAGAACACTTTTCATTGATAACAGTTGGAAACTTCAAAATAATAGGTCTGGAGAGGCCACTGTAATGCAGCAAGTCCAAGCTCCATCCATTACCATATGCATGATCTCAGGCAAGTTACCATATCTCTCTAAACCTTAGGTTTCTTATCTGTGAAAATGAGACTATTGGAGTAAATGATCTCTAAGGTTCCCTCTCTCTGGAGCTGTGTAATATATGACAGTTAACCAATATTCTGACATCATTATAACTGGGAATCAATAGAAATTATGAAAATGAAGGAATATAAGCATGAACCCATGAATATTCATCCTTTAAATTTATTTTATGCACACCTAAAGTTATTTTACATAACACCAGTGGTACAGTAGCCCATGTTAGGAAGAACTGTTCTGTAACTTTATTTTTCTCCAGATTTAGGGAAACTTATGTCATGGGAAGGATTTTTTGTTCTCATATGTATACTGATTCTCTGAAGCCTGAGTATGTGTGGATGTGGATATGTGTCTATATATGTGTTTTCCTCATCTAGATCTTTGAAGAAGAGCACAGTGTTTTGTACCTGGATCAAGGTGGAGTCCTGGTTGCTATGAAACACACATCTCTCCCGATTCGACATCTTTGGTAAGGGCACATGCTGCCTGTGAGATCTGCACCTGATGGCCCTGCACTGCTAAGATCAGTTTAGTAGTCAGGCTATCGAACTGTGACGATTTTGTAGTAAATCTGTTACCAAAATGCCAGGGTGTAGGGAGGCAAAGTAGCACACTCCCTCCATGGGGGATCAGCAGCAAGGCTGCTGTGAACTTTGGTTGAACTTCAGGAAAGTAAACCCACAGTAGAAGGATGCATATGTCTTGGAGAGAACAAATGGGCCTAAAAATATAACCAGTTTTCGCTAACCTTGCTGCAAAATGGTTTATAGCTGAAGTATGTTAACTAAAATATAAAAATAATAACCACAGGCTGTTCTCAGTAACTGCACCCTCCCTCTGCTATGTGCTTTATAAACATATAAAGTAAAATACACTAAAACAGTTCGGGGCTGGAGAGAGTAGCATCCTCACCTCCTTAATCGCCTGGCCCAGCTTTCTGTTTGTCTGTGTCTGTGTCTTTTCTTATCCCCCACTGTTCCCTCTTAAGTCCTTAAACCCTGGTGCAGCCCAGAACGTAGCACATGCCAGACCAAGGGTTTGGTCCGGGTCCTATGACTCCCCACACAAAAAGCCAATCCCCTGAGACAACAAGCATTACGAGGGAAGAAGGCTTTAATTGGGCACTGTAGCCAAGGAGATGGACGATCAGTCTGTCTCTAATGATTACAATTAGGGGTTTATATAGAGGGAAGAAATGTAACTAGGTGTGGGAAAACAGGAATTAGCGAGGGGTAAGGAAGAGGAGGTGAGGAAGAGGAGGTGGTCCACAGGAAGCAAGTTGTCAATTAGGCAGTCATGATGGGTAAGCAGTCTGGCTTCTCATTGGCCAGATGCCTTTGTCTGGTAAGTTTCAGCTCCTTGATACTACCTGAGAGGCCTGATGGTTGGTTTCCTGAGAAAGGAACCAGATAAGACAAATGTAACTTTCTCAAGTTTTAAGACAGGGAGGATGAATTTCTGTGTCTATTCAAAGAAACTATAATCATCAGTTCTATGGGAAACTTGGACCAGTTTCAGAATGTCAGGAGGGGAGGTAGGAGAGAGAGGGACAGGGGGAGAGGGAGAGAGGGAGGGGGAAGAGGGAAAGAAAGAGAGAGAGAGAAGTGTTACTATCTGACAGAAATTGCATTATACTTTGCAAATGTGACAATACTTTCACCCTCACACCTTTACCAACATGTTATTCTCTCAGCATGATCACAGGTAGAACAATGTTCATAATCAGGTATAGTCTCTGAATAGCTTGACCTCTTGCAGTAACTGTTTGCAAATAACATCTCCTGGAGTTTAATGTCTGTATCAATTTTTGCATTCCACACAGAGCCACTTCATGGCTTTTCTTCAAACCTAACAGGACCTGGACAAAATCCTTGGCATTTTGGTAGCAGATTTACTACAAAAACAGTCAGTTCGATGACTCCTGACAGTTCTGCTCCTGTCTCATTTCTCCTGATCTTGCTTACTCATTTTTCTTTTTTTTTGAGGTGATATTCCACAATTCTGCCTGTCCCTGTCCCATTCATGGATGTATAAGGCCTAACTTCTAGGGGAGTTATCAGTAGACTGTTTCATCTGTGTTTTTGAAAGTGGTTCTCTGCATATATGAGTTTGTCCAAAATCAAAAGCCTGGTTTTCCTTCTGCTGTTAAGTTACTTTGATGACTGAAGGGAAAGCTGTAAAAGAGAAAAATAAGACTTGGCTTGGGCAAGGGCATTTGTAAAGAAATGCAGAGCAAAAGTAAAGGCCCTGAGTGACCATTTTAGTTCATTTGGGCTGCCATAACAAAATACCATAAACTGGGTGGCTTATAAACAACAGAAATTAATTTCTTATAGTTCCGGAGGCTGAAATATCCAGGATCAAGGTGCTGGCAGATTCAGTGTCTAATGAGGACTCCACTTTCTGGTTTATAATGGTACCATTTTGCTGTGTCCTCACATACTGGAAGGGGCAAGGCAGTTCTCTGAGACCTCTTTTGTAAGATCACTAATTCCTTTCATGGATGGTCCACACTTATGATCCAGTCACCTCCCAAGGTCTCCGTTTCCTAATATCATCACATTGGTGATTAGATGTTCAACATTTGTATTTTAGAGAGGACACAAGCGTTTAGACCACTTCAGTGACCATCAGGACTGAAGAATTGAATAATTCTTCAGTTATCTTCTCTTTCTTTCAAAAGTCTATCCTGTACTCATTCATTCAGTGAGGTCAACCAGGATTTATAGGTGTAAGGATGACACAATTAGAACTTGGTCACTTAGAGATGTGTTGGTTGAAATCTAAGTAAATCTTACAAGGTCATCGCTCATCAGGGTCACCTATAAGACTTGTTAGACAGTAGTGAGGTTTTGGAAAGGATCGAGAGCTTGAAGTCTAAGAAATAATAAAATATCCAAAACTTTCAAAAAGTTTAGGAAAAACTTACAGTTATTCCCATTTAATGTAGCTCTCCCTTCATTGATGTTTTAATACATCTGTGTCCTGATGGCTTGGCTAACTGTATTTCTATCTTCTAATATAATTAAGAATACTTATTCATATGAAAGGCTCATTTTGACAATGCCCCCAGCTACTTTTAAAATGTATTATCTCCTGGTTAAGAGTATCTTTGCTTTGAAATGACTTTTCTCCCCCTTTGGAGATCTGATTACTGATATATTTTATATCATTAGGTTGAGTTTTGATGAAGGGAGATCTTGGAGCAAATACAGTTTCACATCTATTCCACTTTTTGTGGATGGGGTTCTGGGTGAGCCTGGAGAAGAGACTCTCATCATGACGTAAGTTGAAAACTATTATGTGTTTCAGCCTTTATAGAAAACAGTAATCCACAAAAATGTTTTATAGCTATGCCTGTTTGATTTGCAGCTATTAGGTTTGAGGTTGTTGCATCTTACTGCAAGACTGTACAACAAATAGGAAAGAAAGACGTCGGCAGCTATTTCTTGGTTCTTTGATAGTTTTTTGGAGACCCAGTTTGAGGTGCTTAGAAAAATTAGAAGTGATGATTTCCATAAGAAATAAAGCTGTACATTTAAAACTTTAATAATAATAAACCTGAATATGTAGAAAATCTCAGGCATATAGGAATGATTTCACTTTAAGTCAGAACATAGTGTTTCATCAAAATGCCACAAAGTACTGTATTTTTCCTGGGCTTTTTACCTAACCCAATTGTGAGGCACATTAGGAAAACCATGAGAACATTCTGTTCTTATGAAATTGCATTTATACTCATTTTTGTCTGGAATGTGATGATCATTAATTTGTGAAAGATTAATGACTTGGCTGCCTATGGGTTTCAATACATGGACTTTAAAGTATCAAACTGATATTTCCTTCCTTTGGAAAACTGGACGTGGAAAATAGAAAGGGACAGTTGTAAAGTAGTGGATCTGATCATCAATGAAGACTTTCAAGCCAAAGTGAATACTTGGTACACTTTCTAATTCCCTCCCCTACCACTACGACTTTTTTTTTAATGATAGGAAACAACAACAACAGAATTCTAATATGCCTGTTGGCTACACTTTTGACAATGGGAAACATAGCTAAATTAGCAATACATTCCATAATTTGTCTTTCTTCAATTTTTATATTTTCAAAACAGAGATTTTATAAAGATGACCCAACAGGCCACTTCATGGCTTTTCTTCAAGCCTGTGATTGGTGATTCAAACGTCTCAGTAAATACCTGAGTCTCTCTGAGTAAAGAGAGTAGTCTGCACAGTGTAGGAAATCTTGGCTCTCCTGATCAATTTCACTAGGGGCTGGTGGGAAGGTAAAATGGCATGGAGACCATGGGAACTATGTACCTTAGCAAGATTACCTAGAAGTCTAATCTTGGACCATATAGAATACAGCATTTATGATTGTTTCTCAACCATATCTTCACAGCCACTCCTGTGGCACAATATGTACAAGTGGGCTCGTGAATCAAACACTGTGGGTTCTGGTTCTACCTGTTATTATGACTTGATTTTGTGTTTTGCAATGTTAACAAAACTCATGGAACCTCATATTATCTGTGAAGTGGATCCAGTAATAGTACCCTCCTTGGCTGGGTGAGGTGGCTCACACCTGTAATCCCAGCACTTTGGGAGGCTGAGGCAGGTGGATCATGAGGTCAGGAGATCGAGACCATCCTGGCCAACATGGTGAAACCCCATCTCTACTAAAAATACCAAAATTAGCTGGATGTGGTGGTGCGTGCCTATAATCCCAGCCACTCAGGAGGCTGAGGCAGGAGAATTGTTTGAACCAGGGAATTGGAGGTTGTAGTGAGCTGAGATCCTGCCACTGCACTCCAGCCTGGCGACGGAATGAAACCTTGTCTCAAAAATAAAAATAAAATAAAAATAAAAAAATAAAAAGTACCCTCCTCATGAATGCATTTTGAGGATTAAATGATATGACTCATGTAACGTGCTTAGCTCAGTGTGAGCACTCCACAAATGCTCTCTGTTGTTACTGCTGGTGGCACTGTTATCATTGTGATTATTTTTATCACCATGAACTCTGTAGAGTGTTTGGACACTTCAGCCACCGCTCTGAATGGCAGCTGGTCAAAGTAGACTACAAGTCCATTTTTGATAGACGGTGTGCCGAAGAGGACTACAGACCCTGGCAGCTGCACAGCCAGGTAGGAGGAAAAGAACTGAGACTGAGCCCTGGGCAGGAAGCATAGGTCATGCTGGGGGAAAGCTAGTTGCCAAGGTATAGGAACTAGGATGATCTAGGCCACAATGTCCATATACTGTTTTCTTACACATTTTGTGTTCCACAGCAGTGAACAAACTCACCATTTATAGCTTGTTGTGAAGTCATTTGTTTTTTATTGTGCTAGTATATAATGGGATAAAATTCAAATGTGCTTGGCTTAGACTTATAACTTAAAATGAAATAGCAATTCAGCACTGAGATCCAAACATAATTCATCTGAGAATGTCATAGGGTTGCATGGTGGGGGCACGGATGCAAACAGGGACATAGAAGAACAAAGTTATGCTGGGTGAGTGTTTTGGAGAAATCCTTCTTCCCCTTCACCTTGATTCTTTGGAACTATATAGTACTTTTTGCCTCCTTGCAAGGTACTCCTGGTATGAGAATGCAGCATTATTAATAGGAAACTTTCCTTTGTCTTGGCCTCTCACCTATTCAGCTTATATCAAAATGCTTAGATGAAAGTGTCTCTCCCTTGATTTCCCAAGATACAAGTCGTTCTGCAGATCTCTCAAAGGATATGGTGGAATTACTTGCTGCAACACCATCACCATCTTCAGGCAGAAAAACATCATATCACCCCAAACCTAGACTAAGTAACATATTTAAATGTAGATGTGTAATGAAGCCAGTTAAAGGGAATTTGCTCAGGAAAGACACTGTACAGTAAATTAAGCAAAATTCTACTCAGGTCTTTCAGAAACACAAAAGGAAGAGTGTGTCTGATAGTGGGCTCTGCATTAGCTGGGTACACCCACACTGCCCAGAGGCTCAACAAGAAAATCACTCATTTACATTCCTGATATTTTCTCCTTTGGGATGCACAAGCATTGTGATGTTCAAAGCTTTTATTTATTTTGTGGGAAAACACCAAATTTAGCTCTCTTGTCTGGTAGAGGAACATAAAATCCATGCTGTAAAGTTGTGTGGGCAGAGGCATAATAAATCGAGGCAAAATGAATCTTTATATTAGAAATGCTCCTCTTTCATGCTCTCATAAATGACCAACTATATAAATCTTTTATTATAGGAGAACTGAACTTAATTACTACAGATTTGTTGGCAACATCCTAGGTACAGGCTGAGTCTTACTTATCTGTATGTCCTTCATAGCACTGTACCTAACACTTTGCCAAACAGAGGTTTGATAAATACACACAAAATTAAGGATGTTATTTAATAATCCTCAATGATCATTAGGATTGCCTTTAGAGTCAAGTTGTATAATAGGGTTCTAGACATCAAAAGGAAAGTGTCGTTTGCACAAAGAGGGCTACCAAGGTTTACATTACACTAAGATTCACAAATGTCTCCCTAAACGTCCCTCATGTGGGGCAGGGAAAGTCCAAGCTATGTGCTCAAGTGTCTGTGATCCTTCTTTCCCTGCAGGGGGAAGCATGTATCATGGGAGCGAAAAGGATATATAAGAAGCGAAAATCAGAGAGGAAATGTATGCAAGGAAAATATGCAGGAGCTATGGAATCTAAACCCTGTGTCTGCACTGAGGCTGATTTTGATTGGTGAGCTCCTGTAATTATCTCGTGGAGTCATTCAGTATATCTAATCCACATGGGCCTTAATAAAAGCTTAGAACTGAAATAATGGTAGCATTCATAGGGCTAAGTGGCTGCTTCATTTTCTTATAAAATTACCTTATAGTTTACTCACTATGTGCATGTATATATGGGAAAATCAAGAGTTTCTTTAGACTGAAAGAGGACTCAGAGGATGGCTGATAATTGTCTTTATATAATTGATAGATTCCTAGGACAGAAGGAGAGCATATTTGGCCAGTAGTGGTGGCTCATGCCTCCCATCACTTCTGGAGGCTGAGGCTGGCATATCACTTGAGGTCGGGAGTTTGAGACCAGCCTGGCTAATATGGTGAAACCCTGTCTCTGCTGAAAATACATAAATTATCTGGGCGTGGTGGTGGGCATCTGTATTGCCAACTACTTGGGAAAATGAGGCAGGAGAATCACTTTAACTTGGGAGACAGAGGTTGCAGTGAGCCGAGATTGCACCAGTATACACCAACATGGGTGTCAGTCTGAGACTATGTCTCAACAAAAGAAAAAAAGAGCAGATTTTTTTCTGTGCTGCTTCAAACAGCAACACTGAAAACAGTAAGTGGACTTTTTAGGAAGCAAACAAACCCATTTGTGCTCTAGATGAAAGCTTTCTAGAATCTAGGATTTCCTGTAGTGGAATAATGGCCTTTTAAGGCAGTAAATTTTCTGTCCCTGAAAGTTTTCAATTCATAGTTAGCTGACCACAGCTATGAGATACATGGAAGACCTTTCTGAACTTAGAGCAAGAATAGATGCAATGGCATTGCAAATCTGTAACTCGGTGAACCTAGTGTTAAAGGAGACTTCTTGCTTTACCAGGATTAAGCTAGTTTAAACTGGAGAAGTACTGAGACACTGAGAGGTTAGACTAAACTCAGAGTGCCATCGAGTTCTTTCTGAGACATTTGCTAAGCAGAACGCTAGCTTGTGGGCACAGTAAAGCCCTTCCCTTATTGTCAATGTTCATTGTTCAAGTAAGGCTTATAAATTATTGAGGACAGGTAGGTGGTAACTACTTTGGTATTTTCCATTGTTTTCTTTTTTCCTCTTCTTTTTGCTTTTCCTTTATTTTTTATTTGTTTTTAATTTAGAGAATGCGATCACTAAATATGTACAAATGTGTTAAAGAATGTATACTTGACCCGCATAAGAACTAATCATTCTTTAACAATTTATTTTTAGCTGTATAGCAATCTTAGGTTACATATTGAATCATTAAAATATCAGTGATTGGACTGAGATACTGTGTACATACATATCACGTATCTTAGAAAAGTTAAGTCTTCTCTTATGGTAGACATCTGGAGATATTCTCTGAATAAATAGTACTAAGAAGGTCTGGCAAGAGTGGCCACCAGCAGTCAGACCAATAACCCACAGCTGTACCCCCTTGGTGAGGATGCCAAGCCAAGAGCCAATATGTCTTTGGGCTCAGCCAGAGGGCAACGGGGCTTCAGTTACATTGGAGCTCAAAAGGAAATCTTCAGGGGCTGCCCCAATAGTGACTTCTGTTTCAGTCAGTGCAACATTATGACAGTGACAAAAATATTTTATCTTGTACTACTCTTTGGGACTAACACCCTGAAATGCATTCACAGAGAAAACTACCATGAGATTTTGAGTCATTCATCACATCCCTCTTCTGAAGCAACTAATGCTTCTTCATCTACCCTATTCAAGGAAGATTTGCAAAGAAAGTTACATCTTACATTAGTGATTTAGCTTTTGCCTTAAGAAACAGCCATTCTTTAGAAGGAGGCAAATTTATTCTCTGGTAGAAAACCAAAGAGAAAAAAAATGAGATGAGATGCCCCTATTTCCTGATTTCTCCTCGAAAGATTTGCTTCTCTGGATTCTTTGCTACAGGATCCAAAATAAGCCAGTCTTTTTGTTGTTGTCTGGTTGTCATTTTTCTTTTTCAATTGTAAGCTGGTCAAAGTGAAAGGAATACCAGATGAGGAAAGCAGTTAGACTTCTCCTCTCCCCCATCCCTGGTACCCCTGTCTTGGCCCAATCCTTGCATTCATTTGTGATTGGAATCAGCTATTCATCCCACTAGCTGAAATGCGTTCTAAGAAGTGGGAAATGAATCATGAAGGAGGCCATTGTAAGGTTTCCTGGTCCAGTGGGATTTCTGTAACTGCATGATTTCTGAAAATATTTGGGAAGTCTCATCACGACCTTGTTGGGCTTCTCCCGGTAGCTGGAGTTGTGGTGATGACACCAGGCTGTAGTGTAATGAAAGCTGATTGTCAATGAGTTTTTCTCCTTGGTTTGGCTGTCTGCTGGACAGTTCCCCACATGCCCTTGCCTGTCCCTCTCCAGCATTTGTAAAGTAACTCCCTGAAGTGAACACTGGTTGTCCTATAGGTTCTGAAGTCTTCCTCCCCATGCTGCGTTGAACCAGCACCAAATCCAGCTGATATGTGCAAAAGTCTAAGTACCAGCTGCCTGGTCACAGGCCCCTGAGCGGAGCCTGCTTTTCCCTTCCTGACCCTTGCGTGCCAGCCTCTCACCTCCATTACACAGATGGGCCAAGTCATACTAATGCTTGCTGATTGCTGCCTGTGATTTGTCTGTGCATGTGGAGGTGCAATTTGTTGTCATTCTCTGTGCCCAAGTTCATCTGCCAGAAGCCAAGAATATCAGGCAACTCAGAGGCCCCTAGAAGTATGAAGGAGAGGAGGCTGAGAGGGAAGTCTTTGACTATTTCCAAAGTAGAGAGAGGATTTAAAGCAGTTAGTCCCAACTGGCAGTGCTAACTGCCTAAGATGAAACCTTTCCTTAGAGGAATGCTCGAGACACTCCTGAAGGACATTGCCTTTTTGGCTGTAACTTTGAAGCATATGGAGTTTGCACAGAGGGACCTGGCTCAGCTCTGCTTGTTAGATCCAGATGTCTTGGAAGAGCATCCCAAAGGCATCACTAGTAATGAGGACTGTGCCACATGTGGCTGTGTTACACTCTGTGATGAATTTCTCACCAAGGTTTGAGTGCCACCACTACCCATTTTCTCAGTATAGCTTTCTCTGGGCCCAGCCATCTGTATTGTGTATGCTTCTAATGAGAACACATCTACTCTCTCAGCTTAAGAGTGTTTAAATGGAATGACTGGTTGTGTAGGGTATTTTCCTGAATAATTGATAGATATCCTATGAAAAAGAGGTCTATCTTTGAGAAGTCATTGATTGAGTCAGGGAATGCTTTCTTTCTTTCTTTCTTTCTTTATTTATTTTGACTAATTGATGAGTGCAGAACTTGGCTGTGGACAGACATGGAATTGTTTTCAGTAGTTTTGCCACCTACCAAAAGGTTTTTCTCGGCTCTTTCCTAACAGCGACTATGGTTACGAGCGACACAGCAATGGCCAGTGCCTGCCGGCATTCTGGTTCAACCCATCCTCTCTGTCAAAGGATTGCAGCTTGGGACAGAGTTACCTCAACAGTACTGGGTAAGTGTCTGGAGTAGTGACCTTGAGAGGCCACCCTTTGCTGCTTTGGAGCACGTGTTATACTGACAGAATGACTTCCGACCAAAGGCCAAGCTTATTTCCTTACAGCACAGTGTAATTGCTTTTGTTCACTTTAACAATGAAGCACAACTGCCCTAACGGTGCAAGTTTCACATGAGAATAAGATCCCCATTGCAAATTGAAAAGAGAAACGTTTCTTGGATGAAAATGATGCTGATGATGATATTACAATAGAAATGTCTCAATTTTTTTGACACTTTGTTTTCAAACTATTTAATTATGTGAAGTTACCTTTTACCCTCATGGTATCTATGACGAGGCAGGCCAAATAGATATTTCATATGTGCATTTCCTGGTTTATAGATGTGGAACCTGGAATCACAAAAGGAGCTCATTGACTTTTAAAAGTATACTACGGTTAATAGGAATGTATTTTGCTTCCTCTCTATGTTCAGTCTTGACCCATTTAAACCATGCATTCTGACCTTTGTAAATCTGGAACCACATTCTAAAATTTGGTGTTTAATAATCTGTGTCACATGGCTTATGCAATATTATTTAAGAAATACTATAAAAAGGAAAAAATCATAAATTTGTCTCAAATGTAATTGATGTCTATAAACTTTAAAATAGTGTGTGGGACCTATTTAAATTCTGATTCAAACAAATCATCTGTAAAAAAGACACATTTGAGCCATTGAGTAAAATTGAACATATATTGGTTGAGGTAATGTATTAGTTAGGACCTTCCAGAAAAATAAAACCAACAGGGTGAATATTTATTTAGAAAGAGATTTATTGGCCTAGCATAGTGGCTTATGCCTGTAATCCCAGTACTGCACTTTGGGAGGCCAAGGCAGGCAGATCACTTGAGGTCAGGAGTTTGCGACCAGCCTGGTCAACTTGGTGAAACCCCATCATTACTAAAAATACAAAAAAAATTAACTGGGCATGATGGCGTGGCATGCACCTGTAGTCCCAGCCAGTCAGGGGGCTGAGGCAGGAGAATCACTTGAACCCGGGAGGTGGAGGTTGCAGTGAGCCAAGATTGAGCAACTACACTCCAGCCTGGTCGACAGAGTGAGACTCTGTCTATAAAAAAAAAAAAAAAGAAAGAAAGAAAAGAAAGAAAGATTTATTTTAAGGAATTACCTCATTCAATTACAGAGATAGGTGGGTACCAAGATCTGCAGGGTGAGTCAGCAAGCTGGAGACTCAGGAGAGCTAACAGTGTAGTTCTACTTCAGGTCTGAGAGCCTGAAACCATAGAACTAAAGTTGTAGTTCTAGTCCAAAGGCCCAGAGACCCAAGACCCAGGAAGAGTCTCTCAGTTCAGGTATGAAGGCAGAAAAAGAAGCCAGTGTTCCAGTTTGAATGCCATCAGGCAGAAGGAATTCTCTCTTACTTTGGGAACTGCCGGCCTGTTGAATTCAGGCCTTCAGCTGATTGGATGAGGTACACCCTCATTAGAGAAGTCAATTTGCTCTACTCATTCTACTGAAGGCAAGGCATGGTGGCTCATACCTGTAATCCCGGCACTTTGGGAGGCTGAGGCATGCAGATCGTGAGGTCAGGAGTTCAAGACCAGCCTGGCTAATGTGATGAAACCCTATCTCTACTAAAAATACAAAAAATTAGCTGGACATGGTGGCACACGCCTGTAATCCCAGCCACTTGGAAGGCTGAGGCAGGAGAATTGCTTGAACCCAGGAGGTGGAGGTTGTAGTGAGCTGAGATGGTGCCACTGCACTTCAGCCTGAGTAACAGAGTGTGAGACTGTATCTCAAAAGAAAAAAAAAAGAAAACACACACACACACACACACACACACACACACACACACACACACACAGAGAGAGAGAGATAGATAGATAGAGAGAGAGAGAGAGAGAGAGAGAAATGTAACATTTGACTAAATATCTGGGCACACTGTGACTCAGTCAAGTTGACATATTAAGTTAACCATCATAAGTGATATTAAAGAATTATATATTTAGGCATGATAAAGGCATTTTGGTTAGGATAAGAAGAAAAAAGCCTTATTTTATTACTATTTTTAATTGTGCTTTAGGTTCTGGGGTACATGTGCAGATCATGCAGGATTGTTGCATAGGTACATACATGGCAAGGTAGTTTGCTGCCTTCCTGCCTTCCTACCCCCGTTACCTATATCTGGTATTTTTCCCCACATTATCACTCCCCACCCCGTACTGTCCCTCCTCTAGTCCCCCCACCAACTGACCGCAGTGTATGATGCTCCCCTCCCTGTGTCCACATGCTCTAATTGTTCAACAACCGCCTATGAGTGACAGCATGTAGTGTTTGGTTTTCTGTTCTTGTGTCAGTTTGCTGAGAATGATGGTTTCCAGATTAATCCATGTCTCTATGAAAGACATGAACTCATCATTTTTTATAGCTGTGTAGTATTCCATGGTGTATAAATGCCACGTTTTTTTTTTTTTTTTTTTTTTTTTTTTTTTTTTTTATCCAGTCTGTTGTTGATGGATATTTGGGTTGGTTGCAGGTCTTTGCTATTGTAAACAGTGCCGCTATGAACATACATGTGCATGTGTCTTTATAATAGAACAATTTATAATCCTTTGAGTATATACCCAGTAATGGGATAGCTGGGTCAAATGGTGTTTCTATTTCTAGGTCCTTGGGGAATAGCCACACTGTGTTCCACAGTGGTTGCACTGATTTGCACTCCCACCAACAGTGTAAAAGTGTTCCTATTTCTCCACATCCTCTCTAGCATCTGTCTCCAAATTTTTTAATGATCGCCATTCTAACTGGTGTGAGATGGTATCTCAATGTGGTTTTGATTTGCATTTCTCTAATGACCAGTGATGATGAGCATTTTTTCATATGTTCGTTGGCTTCATAGATGTCTTCTTTTGTAAAGTGTCTATTCATATCCTTCACCCACTTTTGAATATGCTTGTTTGTTTTTTCCTTGTAAATCTGTTTTAGTTCTTTGTAGATTCTGGATATTAGCCCTTTGTCAGATGGGTAGATTGCAAAAATTTTTCCCATTCTGTTGGTTGCTGATTTGCTCTAATGATTGTTTTGTTTGCTGTACAGAAGCTCTGGACTTTAATTAAATCCCATTTTTCTATTCATGAAGTCTTTGTCCTATGTCCTGAATGATTTTGCCTAGATTTTCTTCTAGATTTTTTATGGTGTTAGGTCTTATATTTAGATCTTTAATCCATCTGGAGTTAATTTTAGTGTAATGTGTCAGGAAGGGGTCCAGTTTCTACTTTCTGCACATTGCTAGCCAGTTTTCCCAACACCATTTATTAAACAGGGATTCCTTTCCCCAGTGATTTTCTTAGGTTTGTCAAAGTTCAGATGATTGTAAATGTGTGGTGTTGCTTCTGAGGCCTCTGTTCTGTTCCATTGGTCTATATCTCTGTTTTGGTACCAGTACCATGCTCTTTTGATTACTGTGGCCTTGTAGTATAGTTTGAAGTCAGGCAGCACGATGCCTCCAGCTTTGTTCTTTTTGCTTAGGATTGTTTTGGTGATATGGGCTCTCTTTTGGTTCCATATGAAGTTGAAGTGGTTTTTACCAAGTCTGTGAAGAAGGTCATTGGAAGATTGATGGGGATAGCATTGAATCTATAAATTACCCTGGGCAATATGGCTATTTTCACGATGTTGATTCTTCCCAACCATAAGCATGGAATGTTTTTCCATGTTTGTGTCTTCCCTTATTTCACTGAGCAGTGGTTTGTAGTTCTCCTTGAAGAGGTCCTTTACACCCTTTGTTAATTCTATTTCTAGGTATTTTATTCTCTTTGTAGCAATGTGAATGGCAGTTCGTTCTTGATTTGGCTCTTTATAAGTCTGTTATTGGTGTATAGGAATGCTTGTGATTTTTACACATTGATTTTGTATCCTGAGACTTTGCTGAAGTTGCTTATCAGTTTAAGGAGATTTTGGGCTGAGAAGATGGGGTCTTCTAAATATACAATCATGTCGTCTGCAAATAGAGACAATTTGACTTCCTTCTTTCCTAATTGAATACCCTTTATTTCTTTTTCTTGCCTGATTTCTCTGGCTAAAACTTCCAATACTATATTGAATAGGAGTGGTGACAGAGCACATCCTTGTCTAGTGCCAGATTTCAAAGGGAATGGTTCCAGATTTTGCCCATTCAGTTTGATATTGGCTGTGGGTTTGTCATAAATAGCTTTTATTATTTTGAGATACATTCCATGGATACACAGTTTATTGAGAGTTTTTAGCATAAAGTGCTGTTGAATTTTGTCAAAGGCCTTCTCTGCATCTATTGAGATAATCATGTGGTTTTTGTCTTTGGTTCTATTTATGTGATGCATTATGTTTATAGACTTGAGTATGTTGAACCAGCCTTGCATTCCTGGGATAAAGCCTACTTGATCATGATGAATAAGCTTTTTAATTTGCTATTGCATTCTGTTTGCCAGTATTTTATTGAAGATTTTTTGTGTCGATGTTCATCATGGATATTGGCCTGAAGTTTTCTTTTTTTAGTTGTCTCTCTGCCCGGTATTGGTCTCATAAAATGAGTTGGGGAGGATTCCCTCTTTTTGGATTGTTTGGAATAGTTTCAGAAGGAATGGTACCAGCTCTTCTTTGTATGTCTGGTAGAATTTGGCTGTAAACCTCTCTGGACCTGAGCTTTTTTCAGTTGGTAGGCTATTAATTGCTGCCTCAACTTCAGCCCTTGTTATTGGTCTATTCAGGGTTTCAACTTCTTCCTGGGTTAGTTTTGGGAGAGTGCAAGTATCCAGGAATTTATCCATTTCTTCCAGATTTACTGGTTTATGTGCATAGAGTTGTTTGTAGTAATCTCTGATGTTAGTTTGTATTTCAGTGGAATTGGTGGCGATATCCCCTTTATCGTTTTTTATTGCTTCTATTTGATTCGTCTCTCTTTTCTTTTTTATTAGTCTGGCTAGTGGTCTATTTGTTGATCTTTTCAAAAAGCAG